ACATGTAGATGAGGGCACTAGTAACCGACTGACCTTCTCAGTCCCAGGCTCCAGAGTGGGTCCAGCCCGAGGGAACTCCCCGGTCCCTGTCAGCACTGGGCGGCTCTAGTGCACGGCCACGCGCAGCTCCCGCCCGACCCCATCCCTTCCCGCGCTGCGTCCACGGGAACGGTACTGCTGCAGCACGAGCAACCACGGAGCTGTGAAGACCTCAGCCCTAATAGAGGAGTTGCAGTGATTCCTGCCTCGCTTTCGGCGGACTGCAGAGGTTTTCCTTTTTTTTTTTTTTTTAATACTCCCTCTCCCCTCCCCCCAAAAGAGGCCTTTGGATGGAGTCGCGCGCCGCAGAGGGCCACGGCTGTACAAATTTGGAAACCCAGAGCATCTTCTGACCTCTTGTGCAATCGCGAGCATTAGCCTCTCCGGGTAACCAGTGCTGGCTCCTGCATCTGCGGGTCAGCCGCCCCTGCATGGTTTGCGCCAGCGGTTCCCGCTGTCTGCAAGCTGCAAAGAGAGGGGCGTTCTGGATCTAAAAGCTCAATTTAGAAAGATGCAGTCAAATGAGAGGACACTGAAATTTGGCTTAGCTGTTGAGAAGGCGACAATATGTCGAAGTGTCTATCAGATATTGGCGCTGAGAGCATAATTTCCTGTAAACTCAAAGGGTAGCTACACACACACACACACCCCAAAAAGCCCAAAAAATAATCAGGGAGAGGATTTGGAGCCAACCCGGTTGCTTTAAGTGTTGGTGCACTTGATAGGACTGGCTGACTGGTGCGGATGATTCGGTAGGTGGCATTCTTCCCTTGGAATCAGGACTACAGAAACGTGGATTAGTCAGCAAGCACACCATTCTATGATACTAGCTTGTTGCAGAGAGATTTGGTTTTGTGGTTAAAAATGAAAAAACAAAAACAAAATATCCCGGAAGTATTTATAAAGGGGTTTTAGAAGTCTTTATAAAGGGCTCTTTTAGAAAATGGGATAAAAATGAGGGATGAATCAAAGAATTTAAAAACTCAGACTCAAAGAATCCAAAGGATATACATTCTTGTATAAACTTAATTTGGTAATAATTATTATTAAAATACATATTATAGCTTCAAAAATTACATGTTCTTGCTGTGTTGGGCTGTTAAGATAGCATGAAGAAGAATAAAATTCTGTCTTTTAGGCATGAGCTGCTGTAAAGAACACTCACATCACCGCCACCAAATCGTAGATGGAAATGAAGAAGGGGGGGAAAAAAAGGAACAGCCATTTGAAGCCTCATGCATACCATACTGTGTTTAAGCTAGGCTTCTATGAGCATTATAAATTGTCATGTACCTGCATCTATATAATTTGCTTAAATCCGTGTCCAGTAGGATTTTGAACTTTAGAGTTTATCATGGCTTCTACTCTGGTACTTAGTGGTAAGGAGTTGTTCTGCCAACCCAAAGGCATGTGGTTCGAATCCATCGGCTGTTTCTGAGGAGAAAGATGGGCAGTTGTTGTCATTGTCCCCTCCCCCCTAATTAATTGCCTCTGAGAACAGACTGGAGGGTCAGCTATGAGTCATTTTCCACTCAAAGGTATGCTACAACAACAACAGCTGTATTGTAAAGGCCTTTGCAGTTCTATTCATTCCTTGGTGAACTCACCTACTTAATGTGTGTTGTTCTCTTCCCTCTGCGGTGAAGTCAGAACTGACCCATAGCTGATCAAGATTTCCCATCCTTCTCTCAAAGAGCAGCGGATGGATTCGAAGCATGTGCCTTTACGGTTGCAGCTTGGCTTCTTACCACTCGACCATCGGAGCTCCCGTCTTAGTCTCTCTTTTAATTTTCTCCCCCAAGATACCTACCTAAAAAAATTGATAACCCTGACCTCTTCCTAACATTTCATGTCTTTATTAAGTTTGATGTTTTATTTGTCTCAGAGCAATGTAAGATCCCAGAGGAGACCGTCACCTTTTTTGTTCATTGCTGTATCACATGGACCTAGAGCAATGTATTATGTACTGTGGAGTTGGAACTCACCCATAGCTGACCCTCCAGTGGGTTTTGAGAGTCTATAAACATGAGAGGAGATTGCCTATCTTACCCCAACCCCAACCCCAGAGCAGTTGGTGTTTTCAAACTGCCATAGAGATGCCTCCCTTGATTTAGCAACGCAACTCCCTGAGGGTTATACCACTAGGGCTTCTGATAGGGAAACTTCAACGTTTACCTTAGTAAAGCTTGATTACTTTCACTTGTCCACACCTAGCAGTCTTGTCCTACGGTGCTTGACTGCCTCTGAAAACCTTTGGAAGGTTTATGAGTTGTTTCCAACTCAACAGGACATAACAACAACAACAGCTACCTCCACACAGGGCTATGTAAGCCTTCCATAGTGATAACACTTAACACTGACTTAGTTTACTTTATGCCAGACCCCTTCTAAGCATTTTACGTATATACAATTGAATATTCATTATACTCCTAAGAGGTAAATTCTCTTACTACTCCATTTTACAGATGGAAAAGCCAAGCCACAAAGATGCAAAATAACTTGCTTAAATAGCCGATAAATGGTAAAACCAGTTTGGAACCTTGAAGTTGATCTAAAACTGATGCTTTTGCTCACTTGGGTATACTCCCATAAAGTCTGTGGCTCCTTCCCTTTGTAGTACATATTACATTATAAAGTTATTTAACTTGTCTTCTTTGTTCCAGGCATACGCATGTGCTCTGGATGACTGTTCAATTCCTAATTTTTGAATGAAGGTAATATTAGAAACAACCATCTTTTCTGCCATCATTACACCATGCATTGTAAAGAAGATGTACTGGTGGAGGGGAAAAAAACCCAGTTCCAGAACAATTCTGTCATCTCCTAAGACAGTGACGCCAAGTTCCCTGTGCTGGGAATGCCATGTCGTGGGAAAGAATAATGCCAGAAAACAAAAGTGATGACAAATCCTTTGAAGGAGAATAATGACCAACATCTGACAGAAGTAGGAGGCCTTCAGAATATTTTGAAACAAACCTTAATATAATAAGAATAACAACACTTTACAGCAGAGGAATACCAACAACAGACCTTTCGCAGGAAGTAGCCTAGGAATGAAGCCAAAATAGTTTGCCAACTATTAGATGTAAAAATAATGAAGCCTTTTAACTATGAAAGAAGATGTCAATGCAGTGAATTCATACAGTGTACATTTTATTGTGTGCTCTGTTATGCAACAGCCCAAGGGAGCTTGCAGGTATAGTCTCTAAGTCCCAAGTAGTACCAAGAATGAGTGGCAATGCAACCCATATACCCTAGAGCAGAATGAGGGTACCTATTTTCCTTTCAAATTTGTTGTCCCTATTGTTGTTGTTGTTA